CCCTGGCAGCTGCTGCTGCTTACGAGTCTATGTTTGCAGCAGCAGATGGCACCATCCCAGCAAATTCTGGTCTCACAACAGTCTATCACACTAAAAGTTTCCTTTGGTTGACAGAGAAGTTATGGAAAAAACTTTATTGCATAGCATCACCAACTTGTTGCTACAAACGTCCAAATTGCTGCATTTGATGTCAACTTTAATTTTCTTTTCTATCGCGTAATGTTTTCGTCTTGTGCATGTTTTAAGGTGATATACATGACTGGATGGAGGGAATACCCTTCTCAACAGAAAGCTAAAACGAGAGAATCTGCAACAATATTGTTCAAGGATATCAAAAAGCAATTTGGTGGAGGAAGTTAACACCAGCCAGCTTTTGTAGTCTTCTCAAATAAGTGTTTCGCATTCATTATGGTATACTCTTAACACGATGTCTAGGTAAATACTGTAGTGGTTAATGTATTCACATGAAACCGAAATAAAGTATAAGGTATGCATTTGAGAATCATAATATTTTGTTGTGAATTTAATAAGAAATTTGGATTGAATTATGAAAACACTAGGTGGCACGAAAAGTCTCGATGGGTCACGTAGGGAGGAGTTCCCTCACTCTGATCGATCCACGGAAGCTGCGAGTCGAGGTTTGAATTTATGCAGTGTTCTCAATTTGATCACCCATCTTCAGAAATTTCAATTTAGTTACCCATTCTTGTTCTATGTTACCAGTTAATCACTGTGTCCATTGCTTGTCAGGTCTAGTTACAGATATGCTGATGTTTGCACATGACTGATTTCTAGCTAGTAGATCCTTTCTTGTTCTAAAACATTATTTTTGGACGTTTAATGCTGGCTGTACAAGCCAGACACATTCGAGGTGGGTGGGGGTGGGTGATTACTTAAAAAAATAAAATAAAAAAATTCACACACCCCTTGCATGTGCAGCCAACATGGTTCTTTTTGGACAATCTTGAATACGTAGAGTGCGTGATGATTTTTCCTTCCACATGCCAAGCCCCTATTTGATTTAGCTAAAATGATTTGAGTAGATTTTAACAAAAATTGATTAAATGTATAGTTGAAAAGTCGTAAATTTCATTAAATGTATGGTTAAAAATAAATTTGAGGAAAAGCGAGTTTTAGATAATAGGCACCCAACAGAGGCCAAATGGTAAAGTTATAAAGAATTTATGATTGTTTTTATATTTTTAAATTACATTGGAGGGTAATGGAGATGGTGGAAATCAAACCTCCAGCTTCTATGTGAGAAGTTTCCACTAGAGCCATCAGACTCAAGTGGTCTTGACATAGAGAATATATGGTACGATCATAATATAAATGGAGTTTTTTTCCACTTGGGTGTAGAATGCACATCATCACTGTGGAATTTGGTTTAAAAGAGAGAAATTGATTTAGTATAAAATCATGAAAAAATGACTTTCAAGTTAACTTCGACCAAATATTCGGACT